GCGGAGAAGGGAATAAAAAGTGTGTATTGACTACAGGTAGTTCTGAGTTGTACGGCAAGTTCTGAGTCGTACAGTCTAGGGGAAATGAAAACGTTTTTTTGCCGCTAGCTTGCTGGCACAGCTATGATGTTCACCCCCACATGCAGAAGAAGACTTCGGGTCTGCTTACGGCTCCTCCCCCGCCCTCCTGATTACGCCCGTTTACCGCCTCTCGTAATGTTTTAACGTCCCCCCCTCGACCCCAGCAGCTTCAATCGTGTGTGGTTCGTCTTTCCCCCTCGGCCCCCTTCGAGGGCAGTTCTTTGCCTTCTTCACATCTTGGGAAAAATAGATATCGCTCCCCCGTAAACCCCCTCCTCACCCCCCTTGTTTTCCGATGATAGCAACCCCCCTTCCCTTCCCTGTCCCCCCAAAAAACACATACGTACATACATACGTACATACATGTATACATACATACAAAACCCCAGGCGCGGCTCTACCCCCCGGGCTGCTACATGGCAACCAATGAACAGGAGTACTGGGCTGTGGGTGAGTGTTGGGGGGTTAGGGCTTGGGGGTGGGGTGGGGTGAAGGAGGGAAGATAGGGGGTGTTGTTGGGGGGAAGGAAAACCCCACAGACGTTTTTGCCGTGACCGTTGCTCGTCCAGGACGGAGGGACGAGTGTTGTTGAAAACTTTTTGTCACGTTGAGTAATCTGGATACGGACCCACTCAGCAGGTAAAACTTAGAATAACCCCGTCCTTATAATACAGACAGGCATACAGATATACATACGCGCTTGTTCCCGGATCACCTCCTGCTTCAAACCCCCCCAGGACTCAAATTTCGCAGTTTCGGACTTTGGACGCCCTCCCGCAGTTCATTTCCGACTTTCTTGCACCATACCATTTGCCCCCCATTAACAACAAAAAAAAACCTGGTATTCAAAAAGATGGATACCTGTTGCGCCGCCCTCAAGTCGCCCTTTTCCTTCCACACCACCCACTTCCGCCACCACCCGCCTCGAAACGTGCTCACATCTCCCTCCCCCCTCCCCCCTGCCGCCAGCTGTGGAGTCCTGGTTCGAGAGCACTATCCGGGAGGACGTCAACGGCGGCATACAGACCCGGGAACAGCTGAAGAAACACGACCCGCAGCTAGCAGCCCTTCTACAGGCCGCGTTTGGAGACGGGG